GAAGATTATTTTAATTACTACACATAATTACAGCCAACTAAATGTCTTCTCCAATAACACATGCATGTGCATGCACACGCGTGCGCGCGCGCACACACACACACACACACAGAGAGAGAGAGAGAGAGAGAGAGAGAGAGAGAGAGAGAGAGAGAGAGAGAGAGAGAGAGAGAGAGCGCACAAAATACTGCCAACACGTAATTGCTCAAATAGGCTTTTGTTCACTGGATCAGGTTTTCCAGGTCAGTTCTGAGATTTAGAATCTTTTCCCCATCCTAAATGCTGGGTTCAATATGTCTACCTGATACACCATTCACAAGACACCAGGCTGTGCAATAGGTCTTTATAGGTTGCACAGTGGGATCAGGTGCAGCAGGACTTTAAAGTTTGCCCAGGGCTTAGCACCATGACAAGAGTCTGATTTGGTTATTTGAGTGGATTCCCATGCTCTGAGGCTTTATTCCACTGTGGTACAGGAATAGCCATAGTCAACAATTGTGGGCTCTTTCTGGCTTCCTGTTTGTTCCCCACCTCACATTTTAGCTCCATGTGAACCCCAACACACACACACACACACACACACACACGAGAAAGAACTCAAATGTATTCTACTGCAGTGGTGAGTTTTGAGCATCTGAACTGAATACTCTGAGTTTGGACTCAGCAAATGCTATCTCACCTTTGTAGTTTGCCTGAGATGTGGATGTCCTTAACCCAAGGTGCACCCTCACACCAGCAAACACACAGAGGCCTTGGGAGTTACCTACAGTCACAGGTACACACATACTCCCTCCCTGACAGGGCCCAATCCTGTTCCTTCTCTTCTAGCACAGCCACCGTGGCTACTCTCCTTTGACTTCAAATCAGCACTGTCCGGGAACATGGCATTTCAGAGCACGTGTTCCATATCCAACACTCTTGTGACTTTTCCCTGACACCACCTTGAAGCAATCGGTGTGATGCATACAAACATGGGAAGGTAGAAGGTGGGATGAGACATGTTCCCCATACGAGGCTCAGGCGGATGCTTGGTCTCCAGCTGGCAGTGCTGTTTGGGTAGGTGTAGGTAGTGTGTCCTTGCTGGAGGAGGTGCTGACCGTGGGCTTTGAGGCTTAGCGCTCTTGCTATTCCCTGGTTGCCCTCTGTTTCCTGCTGGTGGTTCATGATGTGAGTTCTCAGTTTGCTGTTCCAGCCGCTGTGCCTGCTGCCTCAGCTCAGCTATCGTGGACTCTAACCTTCTGAAACTGAAGCCCAAATAAACCCGCGTAAGTTTCCTTGGTCATGGTGTTTTGCCATAGCAGTAAAAATTGGCTAACATGGAGTTGGGGGAGCTGTTGTTTCAGCAGCTTCCTCCTTTCCTTCCTTCCTAATCCCTCAGCCTGGTAACAGTTTCAGTTTATTCACACGTGTAAGCACTTGAAGTATTGGTATGCAAGTGTGTGTAGTGTGAGTACACATGTGTAGCTGCATGTGTGTCTACCTCCTAATACACAGTTGTTCTGGCAGCAACCATTGTCTTTGCTGGGAGTGGTACCTACATTTCTCTTGGATCAACATCTTGAGCTTCTCCTTACCTCAAAGCATCACCCTAATCGCATCACAAAGAAAACTAGGCCAGCAAATATGGCTCCCTAGGAGGCAGCTGTCTGCCATGATGATACCCGAGGGAAACAGCTGTGGACAAGAGTGAGGGTCCCTCACCAACTCTATCCATCATCTGTGTAGATGAGCTCCCCGTCACAGCCCAAACACCTTCTGTAAGCCTGCGGGTGCATATAATAGAAGTTGCCGTGAGAATGAAAACAACGTACACGAAGCACCAACCAAGTGCTAGACATACAGGACTTTTGAAAATAAGTGCCATATGCCACAGAGATTCAGGAAGTCCTTAATAAGAATCATCATCTCCTATTTCCCAGAGCACCCAGCCTTCCTTGTATGGCCTCGAGTTTACCACCCTACTCAGTGGTCCTTTGTATGCAGTGGCAATTGGGTCAGCCCTCTTTCCTAGGCTGACTAACACTGTAAGGGTTTCTAAGACTCTGAGGCAGAAGTCTATTCTATTTCTATTTTAGTGTCGGTGAAACCCTGACTTTAGGCACAGCCCTCTGGGAGCCTTGCCTTCAGAGAGGATGCTTGCATGCAGGCCTTCCCCTATCCAAGATGTCAGGGACTCCCACTTCTGCAGATAAGCAATGGGATGCGCCACCTGCACTTACTGCTTGCTATGAGGCAAGAGAACAGAAAGGGGGGACAAAGTCTGTGCTTTTCTCTCTTGGGGACTAAAGAGGTGCTTTTCTCTCTTGGGGACTAAGTGGCAGGTGCCTGGGTCAGGCAGGGTGTGATGGCTACAAGGTGTTGGCCCCTATGCCTGCACCGGGTCCACAGCCCAGCACACACTGTCCCTGAAAGTCAGCAGGGATTTCATGGTTACTTTCAGTTTTGAGACTAAGGTTGGAGCTTGGGCAACAGGAGGAATGTAATCTGAATGCATGACTTATGCGTGGCTTATGCCTTGAGTAGATAAAGAAGCCAAGCCCCCCAAATTCCTGGGGCTTTCCTCAGCTTTGTTTTTACGAAGTGGAGACTTATAGCACTTTTCTGGGCTTTCCTGAGTCTCTGATATGACACAATGAAATGTAACAATAGGCCGGTGGGAGGAAGAAAGATGTATTTTGGTGATGCCCATGTGATTGGGGTCCCCAAATAAACCCAGCTACTGAGAAAATAACCTATATGACTTCTAGACATTACCAATGTTTTTTCCATAGGCTCCATTTCAATGATCAGCTCAAACCTCACATTTCGGAGGCTTCATTCCCTTGTTTGTGAAAAACAGAGCCTTATTTTCTAGCTGCTCTGGTAATTCCAGTGGGCCAGTCTAGGGTTGTGAGTGGGCTGCCCCCTCCTTCAGGAATCTTGGAGCTCAGGACATTCAGTGTGTGGGTGGCAGATGGATCAGCTGACAGGAAGTGTGTGTGTGAAGGCGGCCACCCAAGACTTTGGGTCACGACTGACTCCTGACTGATGGAGCTCAGATCTCAAAGCCGGGAGGGCACCTGCTTGCTCTGCCAAAGCAAACCTGTCCCTGCACGGGGCAGATGGCAAAGGAAGTGGGCCTCGGCACACAGGGGTTCCGCGCTTCACTTGAACCGTCTCAAATAACCAGTTTTCAATGATGGGATGTTCTTAGGCACCAGGGGTAGCGGGAGGGCTGAGGCTCCACTCCAGATCTGCTGAACATTAATATGCATCGCAGCATAGTTCTAGAAGCCAGCCAGCTGCATGTCTGGCTGGCCCTTGCTCTGGTGGTCCTCTGCCGACAGGACTCTGAACTGCTATTTGTTATCTTTAGGCCTGAGAAAGCATCTGGTTTTGATTCAGGTGGCCTCAGGCTTGCCTCAGGGGTGAAAAGGGTGCACATTCAAATTGAATTTCTCACAATTTCCAAGTCAGAAGGATCCTAGTCTTCCCACATGGTGGGCAGCCCCTGGCCTCTGCAGCCTGGCATAAATCAATTTCACCTGTGTGGCTGACTGCGCACATGTTAACCTAATGGAACCAACTGTGCAATCAGATAGCTTCTGCACATGTTCTGATGTGGTGAGAAGAGGTGACCTCTGATTGACCTCTTGTATCCCATCTCTTGGGTTGGAGGCTGTACTTCTGGGCACAGGTAGAACCTGGTAGGGGTCCTTGGACCTGGCTCAGCTTCGGCAGGTCTGGACACAGAACAAAGTCATATGTCACAACGGAATATATGGGGGAGAAGGAAGGTTTCTGTCTAAGTGAGAAACAGGCCTGACTGTAAAACAACCAAATTGAAATGTTTCCTGACTTCGCATGACAAGTGCTTACACACTTCTAATGTTTACTTTCAAGGTCAAAGCTTGAGCAAGCTCTGGTCATCTTGCTGAGTGATGATATGAGGGGCCTGTTCAGTAGGGTGGGCTGGGATGAAACATCTGCATGTTATAAGGAAAATTCCCTTAAATGCGAAAAAAAGTAAATGTAAAATAATTCTGTGTGTTTAAATGATACCTGGGCAGCCTGACCTATAGTTTATCATCATGGTTCATATTCCTTTATCAAAATCAAGTGTCAAATGAACAAACAGAAGTTGAGTCTAGGGCTGGTGGTAAAGAGAAGTTTCTCCTAGTTAAACTCTCAACACTGAAATAAAAAGAAAAAAATAGTTGAATCCAAAACAGGGATAAACAAATAAATGATGGGCCAAATCTGGTCTGCAGCCTGTTCTTATTAATAAAGTTTTATTGTAACATGGCCATGCCATTTGTTTAATCATTATCAGCAGCTGTTTTCTCAGTGGTTAGTAGGTAATACAGTCTGGTGTCTAGTTATTTGTAGATGTTCTGACATACTGTGATTTCATCTTCTTTCAACTGGAGGGGATATCAGCCTTCTTTTGTAAACAATAATCAGTATAGTCTGGGGCTATAGATCTTAGGCATGTGTTTGTTCTATCCTGTGGGCCCTGCTTTTGATGGTTAGCGGCACAGAAAATAAAGGTCACTAAAGACAAAGTTTAGCGAAAGTAGTCAGTTCCACAGTGTGAGGCTGGGAGGCCTAGGAGAGCTCTGGGTGAGGCAGCAATTCGCTCACTGCAGCAGTCTCTTCATGAATTGCTCTTGTACCCAGACGAAAATGCAGCGAGTTTCCTCTTCAGAAACACAAGAGTGCACCCTGGAAGCAGCCACAGCAGACATTTGGAAAGGCCTCAGCACCAGCCAAAATCTTGGAAGCTTTTAGTACCAAATGTACACAGGCCGAGCTTTTGTTTGATTGCTTGTTTTTGTTTTGTTTGTCTTGCCAGCGCCGTCATCAGCATCTTGGGAGGCTATCACTGGACTGCTAAAGGCAGTCTGAAAAGGCAGCTTGGAGCAATGCATCTTGGGAGGCTATCACTGGACTGCTAAAGGCAGTCTGAAAAGGCCGCTTGGAGCAATGCATCTTGGGAGGCTATCACTGGACTGCTAAAGGCAGTCTGAAAAGGCAGCTTGGAGCAATGCATCTTGGGAGGCTATCGTTGGACTGCTAAAGGCAGTCTGAAAAGGCTGCTTGGAGCAATGCTGCCTCTCTCAGCAGGAGAGGCCAGTCCTTGAAGGAGGTGGCCATTTGGAGTTTGTTGGGAGGATATGTGGAAAATAAAAACAGTATCTGACTCAGAACGGATGCTTCAGAAGGCAGAATACAGTCGGATTCCCGGCTCATTCGGTGGGAAACAGATCACATGAAACAAAGATGGCAGCGCTGGGAGCTAGCGGTGCCACCCGTAGTCTGATCTCCAGGGTACAATTTCAAGGAGTCAGTTAATGGCCCCACTACAAAAAGAGCCCCAGGGGTCCCCCAAGCCTGACCCCCAAACTTGAACTCTACCTGAACTGATCGTTTTCATTTCTCTTCTCTTTTTTTTGAGGTTTGAAAACATTTAATCAACTCCCCTCCCAGGACATTTGATTTCTGTGCACTTTTGCACTTCTGGGCTCCATCTGGGGAAAGAAGTGCCAAAACCGCCACGCAAAAGGCTACCCTGGAGGTATTTTCAGTTGGACTAGAAGCAGCAGGTAACGGAAATCTTCTGAGACAGCTTGTTCTCTGGAGGGTTTCCTGTCCAGTTTTGCTGACTGAGGCGTTCCCAGGGTTTGGATAAACTTTGGCTTAGCAAACGCACTTTGATAGCTGCCTCGTGGTTCTAATTGCAATTAAAATGCTAGAAGCCCTGGCCCCCACTCATGCCTTTCTCGCTGTGCCTGGTTTTGCCCCATGATATAAGAGCACCCTGGACCCTTGAAAGCCTGTAGCTTCCCTTGCAGAAACTCTGCATGCAGCTGTGGCACTGGCATCAGTTACTTTCGGTTTGGTCACTGCACATCCACAAGGAATCAGCAATGCTCCCAGCCTGTGCTTGGAGCTGGGGACAGAGACTGGTATCCCTAAATTGCAGGGAATCCAGTTGGCAGAAGAGGCAAATGGCTCTTTCACAAACTGCAAGTTAAGCCCACTGGGAAAGGCAAGCACAGAAGACAGGCACTCAGAATTGGGGTTTTTGTTTTGTTTTGTTTTACCTAATGGAGTACAAAGCTGCTTTCCCTAAACTACTGTTTTAAGGAGTAATTTGCTTGAATTACCTAAGTAAATAGCCTGGAAAGCAGTGGATAGGTGGCAATGCTGAACTCACTTAATGGATTGCTGATGTAGCGAAGGAAAACTGTGCTGAGAAGGGTTCTGAAACCATGTTTGCTCTCACCAGGAAATGATGCTGCAATAGGCTGGTGTGTGCCTTGCATGGAGAGGAGAGCAGCATACATGCCAATCCCGCAGAAGGAGACCACAGCCCAAGAATGAGTCGATGCACCGGCAAATCAAAGCCCAAAGCAGACTAACTTGGCCACAAGTGTGAATGCAGCAGAATCCCTAGTACCATGGACCTTTCTTACATTGCTTTGTGTGAACTATGGATCGAACGCTTATTCTCAAAATGCAAACAAGTCTTAGCAGCAAAGTCAAAGGTAGTAACAGATTAGAACATTGATGTATATCAAGACGCCCTAGTCTGTGAGTTTATGAAGGGTCTCTGTTGGATTTGGTTACTATGGCCCCCAAAACAGTAAAATAGAAAAGCTGAGTGTAACTGTACTGTAAGAGCCTGCAGATAATGTGCTGTGTGTTGGGTAAAATCTGGGAATTACTCTCAAACTTGGGATCTGCCAAGACCAAGTGGGGGACTTTTGAGTAGAAACATTACATTGCCTAGAGATGTGGCATAATTGTGCTCATTGAGAAATGAAATTCCCAATTAATTTTGGAAGATTGAAAGGCCAGCCAGGGCCATCCTGACAGCCAGTTACCAGGCAGCTGCTGGTGGTGACATATAAGAGTGTATTTGTCATCCCCAGGGCTCCAAAGGGAAAGTGGGATACTATGACTGGAGTGCTATAAAACTGTCTGGGTATTTTGCGTATTATTCTTATTAAGTTAGAGTCCTGTTAGAGCAAAACATGTTACTATTTAGATTTCTGTCTGCTTGGCAGCCTTTGCTTCATAAATCTCACAGAAGAAAATTGGCCCACTGGAATTGGATTTTGGATATAGCGTTTCTTCAACATCAAGAAAATGGCCACACATTTTTTTCAAATTGTTTCCCTTGCAAATAATTTTTAAACAGCCTTACAAAAATGTTTTCCTTGCCTCACTCCCCAGTGAGTTAAAAATGCAATTCACAGTTGCCAACTGGCAGGATGGAAATCGCCTGCGATTCCAGCAGACGGCAATGGGAATGTATGAGGTGATTGTTGGGGCGGACAGGCAACTGCTGTTCTTTGTGGGACGCAAAATGATCCCTTTTATTCTTAACTAATTCCCGAAGCAAAAGTCCTTCCCACCTACATGTGTGGCCTAAACAAGAGACAGAAGATGAGTGATGCGGGAACCCACGAACTGACTGTTTGCTGCTCCGTTTCAGCACTAATTAATATTAATAGTGTTGTCAGTAAGCTGAAAGCGCAGAAGGGATCACATTATTTAGAGCTTTTACCTGGGCTTAAAAGGGACTTGGGGAAGCGGCTCCAGGTTCTGAAAGGTGGCGGAAGCCCAGTAGCTGCCTCCAGGAGCTCAGGCACATGCGACTTTGTATAAAGAATGATGTGTGTCAACGCTGTGGGTGTACAGTGAGATACTTTTCTACTCCAGTTACATGGCGGTGGATCAAATGTTACAATCCAAGCCCCGGACAGACCTGCAGTCGCACCAGAAACAAGAGCACGTGCTTCAGGTTCTAGATACAGTGGCTATGTGTTGATACCTTGAGGTATCAGCCAGGATGCTCCATATCTGAGTTCTAAAACAAGTATGAACTTTAAAGAAGGCAGAAATTTGGTACCACATTCCTATAATAGTTACTTTTCTGTTGCTGTGATAAAATTGTCTGTCAATAGAAAGCTAGGGAGAGCATGGTATCCCCAGACCATCCTGGCAGGCATAAGGAAGATTGATAACATTTTTCCACAGCCATGAATCAGAGAAGGAGAACAAACATGTAGTGAGACCAGGCTCAAAGCCAGTCCTAGTGATGTTCCGCCTCCCCCAAGGCTACACCTCCTAAAGGTTCCGTAAGCTTTGAAAACAGCACTGCTAGCTGAAGACCAAGTGTGTACACACAAGAGCTTAAGAGGACATTTCTCATTCAGACCTCAACAATTCCTAGCGCTTGTGCAGGTTTGTTTTTAAAATCTGTTTCTTTGCTTTTCCACCCAAGAGAATCAGTTTTGTATTTTCTTCTTTCTCCCCTCCAGGCTTTGTGTGCTCTGATCCATAGGGGTGTAATCAGAAGGTGGAAAAGTCTTGGGGCAGGGACTGATTTTATTCATTGATTATTCAATAAACATTTGAGTAACTATTGACCCTTGGGCCCCATGCTGGGCACTTACAATGCATTGCTACATAAAGCAGGCATGCTTGCTCCCTCATCTGAAACCATATAATGCTGGGAGAGACAATCATATAACAGGTACTAGCAGGATTGCTGCTGTCAATCTTAAGAAGACCAAGAACATAGAAGAGAGACCACACTGACAGAAATAAAGAGGCAATGGTAGCTCACAGAGGCTCTTTAGGAACTTTCCTACAGCATTCTGGGTTACTAGGCAGCATGTTAAGAGCACTGCATGGCCTTACATTACTAAAGTTTTGGTTATCAGTTTTCTCAATAGATTAAAAAATGTGAAATACCAACCAATAGTTCAAAAGCAAAACCAAATAAACAAACAAATCCCCCATAAATACCAGGCTTAGCATACTACATAGGTCCTAAGGGCTGAGTCACATGCCTAAGAATAGGCAATGAAGAAGGTTGTGACTTGTTCAACTCTGAGCATCCAGGGAAGTAGACAGCTGGTCACAAGATCAAGGATATGTGAATTTACTGAGGATATGGATTCTATCTTTCTTAGCAGACTGTCTGAATTTGGAGACAGGCTCAAAATGGAAATTAAAAATACAGATACCTTATATAAAATACATATCTATGACTAACTTTATAACAATAATCTTTAATATAAATACTAGCTCTTAAAAAGGATAGATTATTGCTTTAAAAATTAAATAAACTTTTTATTAGGAATAGGCTTGAATGTACAAGTTTCCGAGACAGTGCAGAGCCAAGATCATCTTAAATATTTCCTTCCCCAACCCTAGGACCAGCAACTTCCCCAAGTGTTGTAGGGTTCTCTGTGAGTGAAATAGCCAATTTATTGGTTCAGGTTGCTTGGTCTAGAGAAGTAGGGTGCTGGAAACTCAACAGCCATCCAAGTCGGTCTGAGCCAGTGGCCCCCAGGTTCTCTGTGTTATGATCACAAACAATGACAATCAAGGGCAGCAGGGTGGGGTGGGCTTGGGGGAACAACAAAGTTTTGTTGAGCAGAGAAGTAGCTTCCTACAGCAAGGGAGGGGGCAAGACATAGGTTCAACCTGGGTCCTCAGCTGGGTAACCCTATGCTCAATATCTGAACCTGTCTAAGCTAGTTTTCTGTCAACTTGACACAGCTAGAGTCATTTGGAAAGATACAATTCAATGGAGAAAATGCCTCCGTGAGATTTGCCTATAGGCTAGTCTGTAGTGCATTCTCTTAGTGATTGATGTGGAAAGTCCCCGTCTATTGTGTGTGGGACCAACTCTGAGCTGGTGGCAAGCTAAGAAGGAGCAAGCCAGTAAGCAGCACTCCTCCATGGCTTCTGCTGCAGCTCCTGCCTCCAGGTTTCTACATCACTTATGTTCCTGCTCTGACTTCCTTCAGAGATGCTGAACTATGATGTGGAAGTACAAGCTAAACTAAACCCTTTCCTTCCCAAATTGCTTCTGGACTTGATGTTCTACCACAGCAATAGAGATCTTAACTAAGACAGCCGGATGAACTTGGATCTCCTCTATGGAAAGGCTATAGCTACATATGTGAATTAACAGAGAAGGAAGAAGTAACAGGTTCTGGCACAGAAAATCTGGGATCAGGTGTCATGAGCTCTGATGAAGATGTACCAATAGCCCAGAAACTCACTGAGTTTGTTATATATGGCTGAATTAGTAGGGGGTAGCTAGTCTTGGAAGGGGGTCTCTGTCAGTGAGTTTACTATATACAGCTGAATGAGGAAGGGTTAGCCAATCTTGGTAGGGGATCTGCCAGAAAGTAGTTTTCCACTGCAGTCCCCAGAGGAAGAAACTGTGTGGTGATATATTGTTCATGATTTAATAAAGCTTCCCTGGGGATCAGAATGTAAAGCCAGCCATACTAGTTACCTATAGAAGTTAGGCAGTGGTGGAAAACACCTTCTATCTCAGAACTCAGGAGACAGAGACAGATGTATCTCTATGAGTTCAAAGCCACCCAGGGCTACATGAGAGCAAATCAGTCTAAAAGAGTAACAGAGCTCACACCTTTAATCTCAGCATTAGAGAGGTATATAAGAAAGAAGCAAAAAGACTCATGGTAGATTCAGTTTCCAGTCACAGAGAAGACAGGATCTCCATTTCAGCCTTGGTAGAGGTAAGAGCTACTGGCTGGCTGCTTTGCTTTTCTGATCTTCAGCTTGAACCCCAACATCTGTTTTGCGGCTTTTATTATTCATGTTACAAAACTGTGTGGTGCTTTGAATAAGAATGCCCCCACAGGCTCATATATTTATTTGACTGTTTAGTCACCAGGGAGTGGCACCATTTGAGAAGGATTAGGAGGCATGGCCTTGTTGGAGGAAGTGTGTCACTGGGGTAGGTGTTAAGGTTTCCAAAGCCCATGCCAAGTCCAACCAGTCCAACCTCCTCTCTCTCTCTCTCTCTCTCTCTCTCTCTCTCTCTCTCTCTCTCTCTCTCTCTCTGTTTGCAGATAAGGATATAGCTCTCATTCTCTGTTCCAGGGACATGCTTGCTGCCATGCTCTCTGTCTTGATGATAATGGACTGATCCCTGAAACTGTCAGCAAGCCCCAAGTTAAAGTTAAATATTCTTTTATGAGAATTGTGGTGGTCATGGGCCCTCTTCACAGCAATAAACCAGTGACTAAGACACTGCAATTGATACTTTCTGCACACACTGCCAATATCTGTACTCAAATCAGGAAAAGGCTTTGTTCCCATGAGCCTGAGGCACTGGGGTCCTTGACAAGGCCACACTCAAGTTCTGTTGTTCTTACAGGTGTGTCCACTCACTCCCCACAAGAGGCTTCTATTTTTCTGACCTGAATGGGTGTAAGGAACTTGGTTGCATGGGAGACAAGGTAGGAGAACAGAGAACCAGGAAACACCCATCTGATGGGAGAAAAACCCACCAAGAATTTACAGCCAAGGAGGGCAAGGAGGGCAAGGAGAGCAAGGGCCTGTGATCATGGTCAAACATCTTATCATAGTGAGTCAGTGCCTTTTAAAATCCATAGCTTCTGAGCTAAATTTTCAGAGAGGGCATTTTGTTCAACAGAAGCTATGCTCTCATGGTCAGTCTGGTATTCACAGGCAGAGGGGGGTGTCTGAGCTAAAACTACAACTTCTGAGCTAAGTTCAGCTAATTCAGGACCTGGGTCCAGCATCAATGTCTGTTGGTGTAGAGTTCAACCAGAAGTCAATTCAGCTTGTTTGCAGAGATCTCCTTCTAAGATTAGCTCAAGGCTCCACCCTATGTTAAACTCAGATAGAAACCAGCTCCGCCAGGTCCTAAAGGCCTTCCTTCTCTACTGGCCCCTTATCCTTTAATCTAACTTCCTAAAAAAGGAAGCTACCTGACTCCTCTATGACAAGGATACATTAATTAGAGAATAGATCTGGGTGCTAGAGTTGTGTCTTTCATCATAGTTTCTGGGCTTTTTTAGTTCCCAGAACAAGAAATCCTGAGTGTTTACAGACAGCCAAAGACATTTCTCAGTCTGTACGTTTCTCTGACAAAGCATGGGTTTGTTTCAGTGTGTCTAGCTCCAGTTATATGCATGATTCTGACATTTCTCCATTATTGTCTACAACCTCAAATAGTACATCTACTTCCAACAGTATCATCGACTTTAATTGTTCAATTACCAGAACACATACAGTTTTAGACTAACTAATGTTGAAGAGTATTGTTTTAAGGTATGTTACTTTTGTTTATGCTCTGGAACATTTGTTTAATGATTCAAAGATGTATTTGAATAAATAAAATTCACCTCCAGTCAGGAGATTGCATCAACAACTAGCTGACAGGAAGTGGTAGGGAGGAGTCAGGTGAAGGGTTTCTAAGTAGGGGTGAGGAGAAGCTTTGGAACTTTTGGAAAAACTCAAGGAGGTAAGCTACTTGCTATTCAGCCTCTCAGAGGAGCAGAATTCCACCTCAGCCTTTGAATCTTGAGTTCTTTAAGAGGGACAGAGATTTAGATATGCTCCCTTTGTTGCTTTGAAAGAATAGCATTCCCTCAGGCTACTGATAGCAGCAGAGTTGCAGTTGCTGATTCAGGAAGCTTAAAAGGCAGCAACAATTAAAAAAGAGGACAATAAGCTAACATCTTCACAGAAAAAAACTCTATCAGCTGCAGTCCAGGTACATTCATAGTTAATTTACCTTTAGTTTTTCATTTGTTTTGATTGCTTAGATCAGCACACTTTCCCTTTAGATGTCTCAGTAAAGTTTCATACAGTTTTCTCAGATTGTTTGGTTGTAGCCTACACTCTATCAAAGATTCTTTAAACCTATTTTTAAAAATTCTTGCTGATCTCCAAAATTTACAAAGAACTCAAGAAGCAAGTCTTCAAAACATCAAAGAGTCCAATTAAAAAGTGGGGTAAAGAACTAGAGAATTCTCCATAGAGGAATCTAAAATGGCTGAAAGACACTTAAGAAAGTACTCAACCATCCCTAGCAATCAGGGAAATGCAAATCAAAACAACTCTGAGATACCATCTTACTCCTGTCAGAATGGCTAAAATCAAAAACTCCAGTGACAGTTTATGCTGGAGAGGATGTGGAGAAAGGGGAACACTCCTCCACTGCTGGTGGGAGTGCCAACTTATATATCCACTACGGAAATCAGTATGGAGATTCCTCAGGAAAATGAGAATCAGTCTACCACAATACCCAGCAATTCCACTCTTAGGCATATACCCAAAAGAGGACATCTGTTCCACTGTATCATAGCAGCATTATTTGTAATAGCCAGAACCTGGAAGCAACCTAGATGCCCCTCAGCTGAAGAGTAGATAGAGAAAATGTAGTACATTTACACAATGGAGAACTACTCAGTGGAAAAAAAAAATCTTGAAATTTGCAGGCAAATGGATGACACTAGAAGAAACCATCCTGAGTGAGGTAACCCAGTCCCAAAAAACAAACATGGTATGTACTCATTCATATATGGATTTTAGACATGGGTCAGGGGAGTGCCAGCCTACAATCCTACTGCCAGAGAGTCTGGGAAACAGGGAGGACCCTAAGAGAGATATGCATGGTACCTCAGAGAAGGGGAACAGGACAAGATCTCCTGAGTGGACTGGG